AAAAAAAAAAAGGGTCAAGAAAAATAGGGTCCCCCTGCTCTGGCCAAGGCGGCGCGCGCCCTGGGGGCGAGACTCTTCCGCGACTAAAGACCCTCCCGGCCTGGTCTAGGCCGCGCGCGCGCTGGGGGCGAGACTCTTCCGCGACTAAAGACCCTCCCGGCCTGACCCTCCCGGGCCTGCTCTGGCCAAGGCCGCGCGCGCCCTGGGGGCGAGACTCTTTCGCGACTAAAGACCCTCCCGGGCCTGCTCTGGCCAAGGCCGCGCGCGCCCTGGGGGCGAGACTCTTCCGCGACTAAAGACCCTCCCGGGCCCACAGACACACACATACACACACACACACAAACACACACAAACACACACACACACACAAACATACACCTCTGGAGTGCTGCAGAGCCGAGTTGCGCGCAGTTGCCCATCACGAAAGCAACCTCAGCTATGTGACCACAGGCAGGCAACGACACACAGACACACACACACACACACATATATATACACGCACAATCACGCACACACAGACACACACACACATACACATACACACACAGACACACACCAACGCACACGTATACATGCACAGACACACACACACACACATAGACATACACACAAGGAACTAATCGCGACATAAGTGCTTCGGAGCCTAGGACGACATGCCATCGCTATCGCAGAAGCAGCCTCAGCTCTGTCACACACACACACACATATATACATTCATACACACACAGACACATGCACAGACACACACTTGACACATCGTGTCGCAGGTCTGATCTGTCGGTGCATACTGTCAGGGAAAGTCAGAAGCTGTCAGGGAAAGTCAGAAGCTGTCAGCGCTCTAGGGTTACTGATTTGCAGGTACGTTTACACGAGCACCGAGTGAGGGTCTTCGTTGGCCCGGACCTCACTCGGGCTCTCCGGGCCCCCTGCTCATTCGACTCAGATTTACCTACCCTTCGAAACAGGGGTGGACACACACAAGCCCTCCCGGGCTCATTGCATCCGTTCGAAACACCGGTTGACATACACATGCTCTTTCGAACTTACTGACAGGAAGCACTCACGAACAAAACACATGCATGACAATGCAATCACTTGCCCAGCACTTGCATGACAATGCGCACTCCCTTGTCCAGATCGCCACCAGACCACCAGAAACCAAAGCTCCACCACCAGCAGCTCCAATGCTCCACCGGGCCACCAGAAACCACAGCTCGCTCCACCAGCTTCGCTTCTGTACAAACAAAACGCTGCAAGCAAGCGATGCAGTAAGGCAGAGAGATGCGCACTCCGAAAGCATGTAGGCATGCACTCACTCACCAAGGAAGAAAAACGTTTTTAAGCTTGCACTTGCACGACACTTGCAATGCAGTAAAGCAGCGAGATGCGCACTCCGAACGCATGTAGGCAGGCACGCATTCTCCACAGAAGAAAAACGTTTGCTAAACTGACACTTGCACAATACTTGCACGACGACACGCACTCACTTGCACTGCTCTTGCCGATCGCAGAGTCACTGACCAAGGTAACACCTGGTGCCAAAGCTCAACGAAGTCTCAAACTGCAGCACTTGCACCAATCTTGCACGACCCTTGCACTTCACTTGCTGTGGTGCCACGAGAGGAGGGCGGGGCAGCAGTGGGAAGGGGAGGGGGTGGCAAAGGAGGAAGGGGAGAGGAGGAGGGTGGAGGGAGAGGCGGGGGAGGAAGGGGGGGAAGAGATGTCCCGGCACTGCGTCCTTTACCTGAAGTATCCATGGCAAATTGATCAGCAACTACCAAAAGTACAGCTCATGTACTCAACTTGCAGCCGAAGACCTGCGACAAGTCAGCGGTAAAGTCAGGTTCGGGAAAGTCAATCAGATCATAGAAAGTCAGTGGGAAAGTCAGCATTCAGGTTTCGGCAAAGGCATTTGGGAAAGACTCACTGAGAAAGTCAGCTTGCAAGCACGGATATAGAATCAGGGAAAGTCATCCAATGCTTATACAGTCCATCGGGAAAGTCAGCGCCAGAGCTACCTCTGGGAGACACGGCGCCCATAGGGAATGCCGTTGTGAAGCACACTTGACACATCGTGTCGCAGGTCTGATCTGTCGGTGCATACTGTCAGGGAAAGTCAGAAGCTGTCAGGGAAAGTCAGAAGCTGTCAGCGCTCTAGGGTTACTGATTTGCAGGTACGTTTACACGAGCACCGAGTGAGGGTCTTCGTTGGCCCGGACCTCACTCGGGCTCTCCGGGCCCCCTGCTCATTCGACTCAGATTTACCTACCCTTCGAAACAGGGGTGGACACACACACACACACACACACATGCAGTCAATCCGTACTTGGGCCCGCACCATCCGCTGTGGCGCTCAGAGCCTCAGCTCTGTCAAGCACACACACACACATGCACACACACACAAGGACAGGGATGTGCAGGAAATCGAATGGCATGCACCAAACCCGGCCGAAAGCTTGGTGCCGTGACTTGCCGGTGCTGTGTGCATGTGCGTGACTCTGTGTGTGTGTGTGTGTATGTCTGTGTGTGTGTGTGTACATGTGTGTGTGTGTGTGTCTGTGTGTGTACGTATGTGTGTGTGTTTATGTGTGTGTGTGTGTGTGTGTTTATGTGTGTGTGTGTGTGCGACTGTGCACAGGGATTGACTGCACGTTCAGGCATGGGTCGCGGGGAAGCCATGTGTGTGTGTGACCACAGGCAGGCAACGACACGCAAACACACACGCAACCACACATACACACACAGACACACACACACACACACACAAACACACACGCACACACACACACACACACACACACACACACTCCGGAAGTGCAGCGCAGAACGACGTGCCAGCGGCGGTCACTAAAACCGATCTCAGCTCTGTCGCATCTATACATACACACACACGTGGTCACAACAGCACCCACTTATTCTTTCAATCACTCATCCATTTACTCCCATCTTCATTCACTCTTTTGCGTCTTTAGATTGTCTACCAATAGACAAGCTTCACATGTGGGGTTATCCGGTCCTTTAATTTTGGATCCTTCCCAAGCTCGGCCTGTGCTTCGCCATGGCTTGACTCCTGGCGGTCCCGGGGAAGTCTCTCTCGTGAGGTCTTTTGCACAAACGCTGTCCGACCTCGTCCTCGGAGTCATATTTTGCATGAACAAGCCTGTGCAGGGGCAACAGGGCGGCTGGCCAGTGCTCCCACTTCTGTGGCATATGCCCTTCCTCAGCTGTGGTGCCATGCGGCCGCGGCGTGCCGCGACAGAAGCATCTTGAGACTCAAGCATCAGGGACACAAACATCTGACGAATCCTTAATGAACGTCGCAATGTTTGTGCACTGAGGCTTCATGAATGAATCTCACAGGGAATCACTGTCGCTTTTCAGTCTGCCTTCCCCTCAAACAGCAAAGAATGCGGGCGCGTTTTGGCAAAGCAGACCGATTCACGTCTCAATGCCAGCGCCAGCAAAGCAGCCGATCAACACGTCTGCATGCTGCCACACGACAACATGACAACACAAGGAGGACTTCATATCAGGAAAGGATCATGGGAAGCTTTGCGTCGGACGTCCTGTTTCGAATCATGATTACAGCCACGGCTCGATACGCAGCGCGCATGCAGCAGGTGCACGTGATGCAGCTAAGATTGAAGCAGCTGCGACTCCAAGCGACCAAGCCTATGTGCGGATGTGAAACGTTGTTTTAAACTGGCCATCGAAATCGCTGTCAACGCCAGCGACCTGCATTCAGCTGATTTCACCGAAGCCCAGGTGCCTCCTGCAAATGACGAACGATGCTAGCAGAAAGTCCGCGGAAGAAGACATTCGTGACACTTAGCGATGCATTGCAGTCACCCAAGCAAATTAGATGGAGTTGTCCATGCAAAACCTAATTGCTTCCGGTGAGTCACCTTCTGGTCTGAAGTGTGACACACCTTCTGCTGTGCTTTGAGGTGGCAAGACATGCCTCTTAAGCCAAAGGGGTCTTGACCTGAAGGATCGCAAGTGATACGGAAGCTTCACCATAAACCACCAGACCTTCGGCTTTTGAGTCGAGTCCCCCCCGTTCGGTAGCACTCACTGGCGCAGTGGTGTTCTGGAGCGCCGTGATCTCCGGCTGTCCCGATCCAAGCCTGGCGCTCGCAAGGGCCTGGAGATTTCTGGAGAGTCAGAGGAGCTCAGCTCCGGCCTTGCATCCGAGAAGAGAATTGCTTCTGTGCTCGAAGGGCTGCTTGATATGCACGTGTGTTCTCCACGTTGTACCTATGCCACGCGGTACTCCAGACTCCAACCAGCTCTCACATCAACTCGGCGCACTTGAAGGCATTCGCCCACACCATGTTCACGTCGCTGACAAACTCGCCAAGAGCGCTGTACCTGTCTAACTGTCTAATCACAAAGCAAACCCGCACAGGGCGCGGAATGACAATGTCTGTCTCTGCCTCGCCTATTGGCATCCAAGTTGGACATCACGCTGCTCAAATCCATCGGCATGTTCGGCTTGATCTTATCCAGATAATCTGGATACCTGTGTGCAGCTTCGCAGTTCTCTGCTTTGTGCCCCGTGGGCACCTGAGGCACCGCCGCCAACAACGGCAGAGGACCCGCTTTTTGTATTATTATCTTTGCTGTACAAATTGAAACATTCATCTTTTGTGCGATTGCAGCATCCGCGGCCAAGCCTGATATCCTACGCAATTTGATCAACAAGCCACAATCGCGAAGACAGACCAGAGGCATGTAAAAGGCTCCTACCCTCTTCATCACGAGTGCTTGGATCACCACATGGATGGCGAGGGCAGCCCATGTCTCGCCGGCCGGTCTCATGCAAATGCACATGCAAACGCCTGGTCTCTGGACTGCTGGGCGAAGTGCTGCACAGCACAAACAAATTCACTAATTGAAAATATGTCGGTGCAAGGAAACCGATGGAGTAAACATCGAGCGAAGCACGGATAAGTTTGAAGACTGCCGGATAGGCGACGCCTGGGGCTCTTGCCCAGGGCCAAAGGGGGCAGCACAAAAATTGCAGACCCAAATGGAGGGTGGTGGGAGAGTTTAGGGTGGGGGGCTAAGCCTAAGCGCCTGCTGGCAGCGATTCGACAAACGACGGCGGATGACTTAGAGCCGAGCGGAGCGGATGCGCACCGCACTCCGCAGCTCTCAGAGTTCTCACATGTTCTCAGAGTGCTGTCACATTGGCCAGCAAGTTTAAGTAGTTGTCTGTCCGGTGCTCGTCAACTCCCTCAGCAAGGCTGCCGTCTCGCTCTTCAACCTGCGTCCAAGCTCGCAGCCGAGTGCGTAGGCACGGCATGGCAAAGCGTACAAGAGCTTAGCCCTTGCCTCTGGGCCTACCAGCAAGTCACCTTCGCTGGTCAACAGGCAGAGCTTTGCGGCGTGGCGATAGCCTGGTGCGACGCTCGTGACTGTAGTCTTTCGGAACCAGGTTGGCAAGCTTCAATGCTTCGTAATGCTTCACTGAGCGCGAGACCACCTTGCGTCGAGGGAGCCGTCGGCACCGCATCACAGTCATTCGCCAATCGCACTGCGCAGCACTTGCCACGACCTCGATGGAACGCACAATTGAGGAGTCAACAGCCGCCAACATCAAGCCTGTGCTACTCTTCATTGTGAGACCACGGAACCATTTATACCTTGTCAGTGTGTGGATTTCGGCGGCGATAACATGTTCACAGTTTCTCACACCGGGCACTGCCGAATTTAATCGAGCCATTCAACTCCATAAACACTCAAGGCAGGGTTCAAGCCGATTTGATGCTAGGCATGCCATCATCCGCACCAAACTTTACAGTAGCGTACGCCCAGGCGTACCAGTCTCAAACTTTAAAGTCGCGATAACAACAAAAATGGTAAAGCCTGAATGTAGCCCGGAGAAGGAAGGATAATGGGAACACTCAAAAGCCAAACGGGGCAATGACGTAGAAGCACCTAAGACCTGACGGTGAACCGTGTGTGGTGCACAAGGTATTCAGGCAAACCACGGACCTCTTGAGAATGGGTAAACGCTTTCGCCATGGTTCACGCATGTTCACGCACATCATCAGGCACTGCACAGAAACCAAGGCGGGCAAACGGGCGAACCCCTAGACCCTAGATGGCAGAATGACAGTGCGCTGCAATGCTTCGAGAGTTCCAGGTGACCGGGCCAATTTGAATAGGTTCAGTACAGCATGGGCAATTCCTCTTGCTGTTGCCGCGAAACTGTCCGGCCCCGGTCTCTGGGATCTCGACACTTAGCAGATCTTAGCACAGGGCGGTGCCGGAACGAACGGATCAAAACAACCTTGCATGCAGCATCTACACGGCGCCCTGGTCAAACCTGCGGTCAGACATACCTCTCTCCGGGTTCTCTGTGCCTTGCTTGCGCTGGAGCTGCGGATGCGACGTTATCGTTGCCGGATTTCTGGGCGCATGCGCGGCGGCAACATCTCGCTCGGGACGTAAGCATGGCAAGCTCTGGGTGCAATGACTCGTCACTTCAGAGAGACACCGTGCCACTCTGCCTTATGCAATTCTTACCCGATGTCGCGATGAGAGTTCTGCTGAACTACAAACCATTCAGGGTTTCATCCAGCCGCCAATAAGTCTCCAACCCTTAACATAGATGGATTTGGGGGTCAGGCGAACTCCTCAGAAGCGCTTTCGCAGTGATAGTTGACCAGACTTGTGTAGTCTCCGGCTTCTGCGAAGGTTTTGGGGCTGCAATACTTTTCGATGTTTCGGCTTTGACTTTTCGACTTGCTACCGTTCACTGTACCTTTCGACGATTCGCAGTTGTCCGACTTCTCGCTGTTTGCTGTACTCTTCGACGTTTCGCAGCTTGACTTGACTTTCTACACTTTTCCACGTTTTGTCCAATACCACTTTTTGACTTTTCGCGTGCCGCATTCTCCACACCGTCGCATTGAGGCCACAGGAGTGTGGACTTCCAGTTTGCAGGATACCGCATTCTCCACTTCCCCGCGCCCACAGCCATTCGCAAACACAGCCCCGGGCAGGGGGTGCTTTTCTGCCCAACAGGCGCAAGCATTCTCACACGTGCTCGTGTGGACACAGACGGTTGTGGAAGAACAGAACAAGAAAAACTGCCCTCGAGGGGCGGCTTTAAGTTTGCATAGCAGAGGAGGCTTTAAGTTTGAAGCCCTTGTTTTTTCAGACCACATTGAGGCTTCGAATCATTCAAGCTAGCTAGTGATTGTCACAAACTCAAACGTGTTCTTTCCGACGCATGAGCTTGGACTTCCGAATTGGAGTTCTGTTCATGCTGCTGGACAGTTCAGAGGAATATGTCCGTCGGACTCTCTTCATTGCTCTAACTGACGTGGATGCGAAATTGAGCATGCCATTTGTGTTTCCCAGACGCGAAACACAGGCCCCAATGTCTGCGCGGTCAAAAATTCATGCAAACTTGTCAGTATCGGCTCCCAACACCAGAAAATTTGCCAAAATGCCGGCTGTGACAGTGGATTCCTTCATTTCAGGGAGGATGCTCAAAAATGATCAAAAAGCATTGCAATTGGGCGTGCACCTCCTGGCTCCCCAGACGGCATGCTGGTGTCTTAGTGACTCTGTGGTGCTTGCAGACATACGAAATGCTCAAAACTCGAAACTCATTGGAAGTTTCACTTGACGATTTCGCCTAACCTGAAAACTCAGCCGAAAGTCCTATGTGTTGTTACTGATTGGTTGCTTGCTTGCTTGCGCAGAACCCGAAGTGGATTGAAATTCAGCAAAGTTTACCGTTTGGAAGAGGCTGCTTACAAGCTCGATTCTCCTGAATTGAATCACCTGTCCACCAACTCTACAGGATTCGATAGATTTGCGAGTTGGCAAGGTGCATCCATGCACAGACCTGGAGAGATGCGTTCGAAGAGGCAGGTCTGAGTCTATTGGTACACACGACACGCTAGCCAGTTGCTCAGGAAAGATGGACCCAACATTTCACAAACAGCGATAGCAAGTACCCCTGGTACGGAGTACAAGTCGTACATGCGTGCACGTAACCCCCCCTCAGCAAAGACCTGCGAACAATAAGGAAAGTTAGCATTTCAGGCCCAGCCCCGGCTTAGCTATACTTGAGCCTATCTTAAGCCTTAGCCCTTAGCCCCTATCCAGCCCCAGCCCTTGGCTTGCCTACCCCTTGTCTAGGCTTAGGCTTGCCGCTGCACCGGGAACAACAGCCCAGGCTGGCGCTGTCCCAGGCCATCCCAGGCCCCTGGCCTCGGACCTGGCCTAGACTTTAGGCTTCGGTATGCAAAGCCGAAAATCACAAGAAAAAAGGAAAGGTCTAAAACCTTGCAGCACCGGGCAAAATACTGAAAAGTTCGAAGCGCAGCAACAAGCGAAAAGACAAAACAACATAGCCCGAAAACAACAGAAAACACAAACATAACAGTAGAAGCCGAATATTCAAAACGCAGACAAGCCCAAAAGGTTCGAAACGAAAAACGCATGCGAACAGCAGAATGTTCGAAACGCAGGCAAGCCCGAAAGGGTAACGAAAAGTTCGAAAAGCGCTGAAACTACGCGCAAAGCCGAAATGGAGAAACTTCGAAGTGCCGAAAAGTTGTTCGAGATTTGATTCGGTCCTGCGCTTGTCGAAACGCCTCTTGCATAATCTTGCGTACATACAGAGGCCGTCAGCCCATCTTCATGTTCTTCTCCAATCCCCAAGCAGAATCCCAAAGATGCTCCAGTCTGAGATCCGACTTGGAGCCCGACGTCGCAGTGCACCGACCTGTTTGTCCATCCAAGCTGCGAAGATTTCATCACCGAAGCGAGGCTGGCCGATGCTGACGAACAGTATTCGGTGCCTTATTCGCAGGTTGTCATGCAAATCGCCCAGTTTGTGGCTCGGTTAAGACTCAAGACTAATTGGCGATGCGAGAATGCTCTACTTATGTGATGACTGGGGTTCGGCACCGGACAATCCTACAAGATCTGAAAGAGACACCACTTCTTCGCTTCACGTGGGCAAGCCAGAACTGCAGGCCCTAGGAGTTTGGTCGCTGAAAGTTTATTCATGCTTTGAAGAACCTGCAAAATCGTGCACAAAATCAGCTCGGGCGCGGAGATGCAGCGAAGTTGAATGCCTGCAACAAGTAGCCTCATGGACAGTGTAGCAGCGTAGCACGAAGGTTGTACGAAGTTAAGCTTTGCGGTATGAGCAGCGCATAGCAGCGCACTCACGGGGAAATAGCCCTCCAAAAAAATCTGTCGGACTAGGGTCCCCATTGCAGACGGTGCAGACGTGGTGCCAAGTGCTCCCATTGCAATGGCGCCCCCAATGCTGTGTCCAACCTTGCAAGCACGATCTTCAGTCCCTGACTCTGTGAGTTGAGAGTTGAGGCAGCTCGGAGGTGGGGAGGTTCAGGGCCGTTCAGGGTCCTTCAGGCGGATCCAGGTGCACTCCGGAAGGGCTGCTCCCAATCCAAGTAGGAGCTTGTTCAAGCACAGCCATGTACAACTAGGCTTTCCGCTCCTGCTGGAGTCAGACTTGCCCCCCCAATATGCGGAAACAGAGATTAGTTCCCGCAGTACCCGTTCCAGCTACAGCTTACAAAATGCTGTGCAGTATTTTCTCGCCGCTACCATCCTAACTCACAGATAATTATATCATTTGCACCGAACTGATAGCTGCGGGTCCAGAATGATCACAGTCACGAATACTTGTACTTGGGGTTAGGGCACTGGGACGAAAGCTAGCGCAGCGACATGCAGCGACCCTGGAGGGGCAAGCAGATCCAAATGTCATGCCCCTGGGTACGCAGAGAATCGAAGGAACAAGCAATGCAAAACAATGCAGAATTGCAAAAACTACTAAACTCGGATCCTGAGTGCACATGCGGTATCTCGTTGGGATGCTGGGTCGCCTCCTCCAGTTACTTCCTCCAGCTACAAGTCATGGAAATGTGGAAATCAGCGGCAAAGAACCAAGTTCTGGTGCAATTTGTCGAGACATCTCGTGGCCGGGGGGGGGGTGAAGTGAGTCGCAAAAAAAAGTTGCAACACTCGCTCGCAGAAGTCCATTCCTTGGACCGACTTCCCTCGCCCAGCCGGCCAATGAATTGGATAGAATTCCTCTGGAAGTACAACGCGGAGCAATCTTGGTGGGCTGGGCCTCTCCAAACAACCGTATAAAGGACATTAAGATTAATAAAACTGCTTCACTCCTGAAAGCACTTCTGTGGTACCGCGACGATTCCAGACTTGGGAAGGGACGATTACCAGCCGCTTTGGGCGTGATGTATCCCGGAGCCTTCCGCGAGAATGGCAACGCTTCACGTCAAACGGCTTCTTAGCAAGTCAAGCCCAAGTAGCGCTTCGCAGAGAAAATGCATGCCCAAAGTGATGCGTTCGTTGAAGACTGATTTAAGTGTGGAGGGATGCTGAGTGTCAAGCTGTGGCATCAGCTTCTGGTTGATGTCGCACACGGATGCCTTTCCACGGCTTGCTTGCGGCCCTTCGTTATGACTTAGTCCCGGGATGTCCCGGGCACCAGAAATGCATCATAGAACCCTTGATGAGCTTGTGGAGATGACTGCCGCTGCCGTCCGCCTCTTCAGGGAGCTCCGCACTCGAATGCCACTTAGCTAGGCGGCTAGGCCCAGTGCTGAGCCAGGCCTGCAGGAAAGCAGCTGCGGCTGCTCCTTTCCTGGTCCAGATGTGGTTGGAAGGGCGTTGGGCTGGCGGCCAGGTCCTGGCACTCGCTGAGACTCGCTGAGAAGATGTGAAAAACACTCGCCAGTGACTGCCTCTTCCTTCCGCGCCCCGGCCCTCCCGCGGCGCAGGTTTCCCGCCCCGAATCCTTCCGAACCTCAACGCGTTCGCGCTCGCATATGTTTTTCCCGTCGGAGTCGTGGACTTCGCACCTTCGGCAGGTCCTTCCTTGTCCTTCCACGCGCACAGCAAGTGCTCTGAATGCTTCTGGATCGAAGCTGCTTCCGTCTCCGAAGAGGATTTGTCAAGCGCAACACACGGCTCAGATCATCACAAGCACGGAGCCTGCAACGTTCATGAATGCGCTCGGAGATGCACTGACACTGTCACAGCGTATAGCAGTGGCACTCCGTCAGCCATTCCACGATTCCAGTGGTCCCTCTGTAGGAGATCACCACATCCTGGCGAAGCGGACGGTCTACCAACCTCTGTCATCAACAGCGTTCATGTCCATCGCTGATGCATCCTGCTCGTTGTGGGCGATGAACCCATGGGCATCAACCTGTCTGTGAGTCTGTGAAACAATGCGCCAGCAATGTGGGCATGAAATGAAGCGGAGAGGGACACAATACCCAGGGCCCGTGCAGTCCTCACACTCCCGAAAAGTGAGAGGTGGGAAAATATCCGGTCCACGGTGTAGCCCAAGCCCTGCAAGATCTCGGACAAGGGTCGCCGTGCCCGCTCGGGCCTCATGAAATGGCCACGAGAAAAAGTGGGAAGGCGGCATGGCACTTCAGGGCTGCTACCCTCCGGCGATCATCTCGATCGCCTTCCGCGTGCCACCGAGGCTTTCGAGAGTCCCACGCCTCGCTCGAGGCAAAGCCGCATTCTGCAGGTCTCTGAATGTCTCTGACTCGCATCATCTCGCATCGCTGAGATCAGGGCTGATCATCAGTGTACGACAAGCATGCCAGCTTCACTCCTTTGCTCAACTCTTCCCACACAACGACACCGGTTGCTCGGCAAGCCGTCGATCAGCGGCAGCGGAACTTCTCGAAAAATGGTGTCCTAGCAACAAGTCGTCGAGGCGGATGCCTCCGGGCTGCAGAGCCTCGGCACAGGCTCTTTTTGTCTCTCTCACCGACCGACACACATGCACACACATACATGCATGCATACATGCATACTTACGTACATACGTACATACATACTTGAGAAGAGGGCGACGGAAGCTAGGGGAAAAGAAGCGGACGAAGCGCTGCGCGAGAGACGGAAGAGCTGGAGCCAAGCCGCAGCGCAAGCAACAGACTTCAAACAGAAGCAAACTGAGGGACCTTGCGAGGGGGGGGAGGGGGAGAGACTTGAGGGTAGGGGGGAGGGCCCCCCCCTCTACCTTATCCCACGCGCCGCAACCTTCTCGAAAAAGGGGAAAAAAGGGTGGCGCGCCGCACCTTATCCTTCGAAAATGCTTCATGAACGAGGTGAGGGGGGGGGGGGGGGGCGGCCCCTCCCCCCCCACCCCCCACCTTAACTCTTGGACGTCCCACCTGATCAGGTGCAAACCCTGTTTTTCCCTTGTGCCTTAATACAAGGTGAATTGCTAAAGGACAACTCCCGCAACCTCAACAGAGCTAGCTTTCGTGACATACAGACAGACACAAATCATACACACATACATATGTATGTATATATATATATATATAGAAATATATTCGTCATATCTTATCATAATGTGTTCTTGCATTATACACACGCACACACCTTCCGCACATGATTGCAAACACACCGGGGTCCCCCGCGCGGGAAGCGCTGTAGCGTCTTCCTCGCGCTCGGCCAAGCCTCGCCCAGACGCGCCAGGAGCATGCGCACATCCGCATGTCATGGCAAATGCGTCGGAGGGAGCGCTGGTCCCGGCCTCAGCCGAACGCCTGCAATCGAACCGCAGACCACTGATCAATAAAGTGTCATTGAGGCTCAGGCCAAATGCATCCTTCAGCGGCCCCTTTATGACTAATCGTCTCTTGCAGGACGTGGAGTGAAACGCCTGCGTGGCGATACAGGTTCCGGTGTAAAGCTCGGAGGAAAGAACCGCCTTTAGCTGCCTCGCCCAGGAATGAGCTTGAGTCGCTCCACTCCGTGGTGTTCTCCGTTTCAGAGACACGGTTCTTCTCCAGGCTGAAACACCTGAGCGGACGGGACAGGGTCGCCGTTTTTGTCGTAGCCAAGAACTCGCGGCGGAGCAGCCTAGCGCTCAAGTCCTCCTGACACGCGAGAATCGACACGATGACACGAAACTCTGGATGCGCGAAGAGGCTCCTCCTTGTCGAGGACTCCCATTGCCTTTAGGCGACGTTCCTCCTGACAGCCGGATGATTGTCACAAAAACTCCAGTCAGAATTCTTGTCACGCGCATATTCCAAGTCCATTTGCATAACCTGGTCAGATGTACGAGTCAGTATCACATAGATGGTTATTCAAAACCCTGCCGATGCAGCAGCATTGATAAAAGTAGTTCCTCTGCACTGAGGTAAAGATGGACATCGGACAACCAACTTTGAGCAAGCATGACAGTAGCATGGCCTTGAGTTTCAAGGCGGGCGAAGCGCCATTTGCCAGGTGATGTGGCGCCCTCCGGCCCAGCAGAATTCGAGGTTCCTGGAGAACAAACATCTTGGAATTCCAGTTCGCTTTGGCCGAAAAGCTGAAAACTCAGTCTCCTCTCTAAGAGGGCTGGCGGTTGGGGCCCGTGGTACCTCCTGGCGGGAACCATGTAAGCAGGGAGTTGCATTGTCAGGAGAAGCAAATGCTGTCGCCTGGCCTTTTGCAAGCTCGTCTTGCTTCCATTGCATCCCATCGCCCCGATCGCTACAGAGCGTCTGAACAGTGTGATCGTGGCTCTGTTGCTTCTGTGCTCGTTTACCAGTATAGTTTACCGGACAAGCTTCTTGGGTGAATCATTGAAACCACATCATGTCATTGCAACTCTTGCACTTCAACGTCAAAAGTATTGCAGGGCTATACGTGCATACGAGGATTTCCGCAACCTAACGACTGAACAGGTATCTGCGTGTGCATCGGCACACCCTGCGTAAGGAAAGCAGTCGGCCTGTCAACGTTGACTGGCCGCGAAAAGAACTTCTTCACGAGCGGATCCATCTTTAACTCCTTGGCATGTGCTGTTTGAGAGGCGTGGGAAACCGGGGCCCGCTTTGTCCTCGATGACGTCTGCCAATGCCGCTCGCTGACGAAGGTCAAGCGGTGCCGTGCAAGCATTGTGCCTGCACACTCTGCTATAAACGTACACTTCTGTAGAGAACGCCGTCCAGAGCTCTAGAGGCCTGTGCTGCTCAGATGATGCCTGTGAGGAACTTGCCTGGGACAGTGATTCGGCGTACTTCTTCCTGGCCCGCTTGATGACTTCCATGCCATCTGCAATGCCGGCAGAGTCATCGCAGAATCTGGCCAGATCTGCTACCGTGCGCGGTCTGCGACGGCCGTCGCTGACTGGCTTGTTGGCGCACACTGGCTGCGTGGGTTGTGCTTGCATGCTTGCCGGAAGAGGTGATGTTTCATGAGACGTCGCTTTCCGTTCGATGGGCAACGGCACCTTCCGTGGCTCATCTTGGCTCTGCATGTTTTCGCCCTGGCAAGGCTCTGCCACCCCGCCCCTGCGGCCAAACAGCGGAACTTCTTGAGGGCCTCAGTGCTCAGAACATCTCAGAGTCAAGTGCTCGATACGGCTCCTTCATTGAAACTTTCAAACCGATGCGACCACATGAGTTTGTTAAGAGGTCGACGTCAGACTTAAACCGAAGCTGGAAAAATATACAGTGCAAGACCCAACTGCGAAGTCAATTCCTTCACGAACTGCTTTGTTGATGCACTCTACTTGGTGCACACAATCACTTACAGTAAGTGAGAAGCGCTCAATTGACTCTGATTAAGGAAAACTTCACTCCGGTCTCCGCGTGTACGGGAAGCTCAAGACTTAGTTTGGTTCTCCACATCATGTGTGCTGCTGCAGTTACACTGGGACAGTGGCAGATGACTTTGGGCTCCACCTCGTCTGCCTCGACGATGTTGAAGTGCGAGGCATCCTCACATCTTCCTCGAGTGCATTCCAGTGTCGGCCTTTCAGCGGACCTCAGTCAGTGAGCTAAAGACGCCAAGGGATTCAACAGCTTCGGTTCAGCATAGGCTCCCAGCAGATGTTGCCAGCACGATGCCATGAGTAGGTATGCCTGCGTGTCCAAGTGATATCAACAAAACGATTTCACCTACGTCAATTGGCACCTCCTCGTCGAACAGTCGAATCCCCGAAGTCATGTTGACAAACTGTGCTACATAGCGCTTTCGCTGCCAACGGATATTTAGGAGCAGACTTCTGCCAGCATTTATGCTATCGACGTGCTTCTGCTTATCGGTACTAGTAACACGCTATCAGGTGTCGTCTCGATCATCTGTGGGCCAGTGATCTGCGGAAGGATTTTCCTCACAGAAATTTGCTCTAAAGCAGCCGTACGGAGCATAGAAAGGGTACGGCAAATGAGCTGTTTCTTCCATGCAGCAGCCTCCTCGGTTCGACTGCAGTCATTTTCCGGAGGGTGCCGGAATGCTGTATTCTGTCAGCAAGAACCTGCAAAGCCTTTGATCACTACTTCGAGTGCAACTGGGTGTCGGGATACAGCGCCTTTCCGCTTCAGTTCAGCAAAACGACTCAAGGACTCAGCTTCTCAGGGCTGCGACCTGAGGCTTCTCGTATGTCTTCTTCCCCATCGGCTTTGGCTTGTCCGACGGCCTGAAAGCAGGAAGCCCGGGCCGCAACCCTTCAGACTCTCAACCAACAAGCCAGGCCTCAAGAAGTCACCCTTCTGAACAATTGCCATGGTCCTCACACCGCATGTAAGTGTAAGTTCGTGCCAAAGATCTATATACGATATCCAGTCCTGAAGCCCTGTGCTTGCTCCTTCAATGGGATCATGAACCGCGTGTAAGCCTGTCGAAGTCTGTCATTGCAGGAGTCTGCGCCGGACCTCAAGGCTCAACGGTCCCGGGTGCCACGGGTGCCTTGATGCACTTGGCCATCTGATCTTCCCGAAGCTCCTTCTGCTTGGAAACGATTTTGGGGCAAATGGCCTTGGTGCGAAGATCAATGACTGATAGCATATGTACAGCGCATTCCTGAGAATCGCACTCTGAACAACCTTTCGTTTTTGATGCCAATTTCGTGATGAATCTGAACGACGTCGGCAAGAAGCCTGCACGGCTCGGTGACTGTGCATCCTTCAAGGCAAACCTTCGTAGTGACCGAGGATCCGGCGTGACCGGAATCCGGTCGATCTCATCGCATATGCGTCTTGATGTGAGCTGGAACAGGAAGTTGTCACTTTCCTGCATCGCATGTACCTCCTCCTCCCCTCCCTCCCCCTCACCCCAAACCTTGTCTTCTGTCTTATTGCTCTGCGAAAAACAAATTATACGAGGAATAAGTTGTTGTAGCGGGATCCCCGCTTTCAAGTCACTCTCAAGCGAGGTTTTCAGTTCTACCAGGGAGGTGCAGCCGTGCCATGCGGAGCTCCTGCGTATGAACTGTCTGCCTGTCCACACCGCGCTTTTGAATACGTGCCTTCGCAACAGCCTGGCTGACGGTGCACACAATGTGTGATGACACGTTTCACAGCTTGGCGTCGCTGACATTCGCGACCGCTCTGGCTGAGCTCAGTGCCCAAAGCAGATGCACCAGCCCGTCGTAAGACAGCTCTTGTATCCGACGTCCTTTGTCACGCACCAACTCCTGCCGTGCAGTGCGGTGCCTGAGCCAATTTTTGCGCGCCCCTACGGCCTTGACCACGTGCGACACCACGTGCTTGTTCTTTCGAATCTCTTCACCGTCTCCGCATCTTGCCATGGACCACAACAACTTGGAGGCTGTGTCTGCGCTCCAGTCGGTGGTGTTCAGCTGGCCTCGAAACAAGATCAGAGAGAAAAGCCTGCGATGTGAAAGGCGTTTATGGCGTCGCTGAGCCGCCAGCTCATGGAGTTAGCAATTGCTCCTCTCGGCTGGGCACAACTTCGCTGGGGCCCCGGGGTTTGGCCTGGGCCTGGGGCTATCTGGGGCTGGTGCCCATGCTCATGGCGGCGTTGCCCCGTGCTTCTTCTGGAAACTTGGCCAAGGCTTCGGCCTCACTGCTGGCAGACGAGGAAGATGTGTCTTGTGCACAGCCATGAGTGACAGCTGGGAAGGCTGCTGCTCGCGAGAGGTCCCGGAGATCAAGCGCTGGCGGCGGCTGGCTCAGGAGCTCCTCTCAGACGGGTCGAAGCTCAGCTGCACCTTGTAGAAAATAAGGCTTACACTCACCCGGAAAGGAACGCCAAGAAGAGCAGCGGCAGCAGCATCCAATTACAGGGAGCAGCACTGCAGCGGCAGCAGCCTCAACCAGCAGAAAGCAAAAGCAGCCGTCGCACACGAGTTGCAAGCCGACAAAAGTCTTGGAGCCTCGAGGTACCCCGATGCAGGATTTAACAACGTAGCGCAGCTTACACAACATGACAGCATGCGAAGTGCTAAATTGCAGCTTAAGCTCAGTGCCTGGATTTTCTTGCACAGAGCTTTGACCTTGGATGTGAGCGAATGAAAACCTCATCAGTGCTCCAGCGGTCAATTGCTGACCGAAGCCGTCACCCTCTGCATGGCTGCATGGATCAGGACCCAACATGAGGCTGTCTGAAAAGATCCTCTCTCAATTTGAACGAGCTCTTCGTTGCCATAGTGCAAAGGGCCTGTTCGATGACGCTGCGTTCTCGATGTTCCCACAAGCCACAAGCGGCATGAGTAACAGTGCCTCAATCGCGACGAGGGATGTGAAGTTCTGGCCCTTTTCCTGCTTGAGCAGCCACAGGGTAATTACCATGTTCTGAGCATCTGCCGACTGGACAGTGGGCCAAAGTTCCTTGACGTGAGCTGCACAACGCACAGCAGAAAGGGACGACACCTGTTGCTGCAGTGCTTTACAGTGTGCGTGCTCAAACTGTTCTGCACTGCGCGCAGCTGCAAGCACAGTGCACGAAGAGCAACCCGAAGGACCTGCTGCAATACAGCATCCTGTTCGGTGTCCTCTTCAGGGCTTAGCCTTACTCCAGCAACAGCAGGTCGGGTCTGTATCGGAGGCAATGGACTCTTCCAAAACTGAGAAATTGACTGTGGTATTGTCGCTGCCTCGAGCAGAAGACAGCACATCACAACCATCTTGATCTATATAATGGGAAGCGGCATAGTATGCGCGGCCTGCTGGGCTGCGGCTTGCCACTGTGCAAAGTAAGCTTTTGGATCCAGCATGGCAGCACCTTCAGCGTACAAGAGTGTGGCTCGGTCTGGTGGCAGTGCATTGCTATTCAAAAGCTGGTGTCCTGGTGAAGAAAATAGAACGAAGTCTGAAAATAATGTAGGAAGCCTTCGACACGAGGTCACGAGGCCGAGGCGCAGGCAGACACAAAGAGACGAAGGAGATGGAGATATGCGAAATGCCCACAGCTGAGACAAAGGGTCTTTAGACACGAGTCCGACCAACTCACTGTGTTTGTAGATTGCGACATCAAATCTGCGCCCTGAGCTTTGAGTCTGATGAGGCTCTTGCTTCCAGTCTCATGCCCAACTCCTGCATGTTCCCTTCATTTCCGGTGAAGCCTACTGCCCCGGACACAACATCACCTAAGACCTAAGGCTCAAATCATCGCCGTCGGCCTGTAGGTTGAAATACACCTGGAAGAGCAGGGCTCGAAGTTCGGATCTCACTCTATCGACTTGTGTCAATGGCCGTTTCGCTGGAGCACCCCACCTCCAAAGGCGTCTTCCGCACTTCGCTTCATGGCGCTTCACGGCAAGCCGTTTCAACTAGCAGCGGCGCAATAGCATAACAGCGGCGTGTATCAACGGCTCAGAGGACATCCGTGAAGCTACAAGTATGATCTGAGATTCTCAAATCTACTTCGATACTCAAGCACCAGAAGCAGCATTGTCTCAATAGGCAACACAAGGCAGAGATCGCATTCAGACTACGTGCAACAGACGACACGAAAAATCAGCCTGAAACAAGCGACAACATTTTGAAGATCCGAATCTCACGCTCTTTCGCTGATGCAGACATCTGGGGGCAACTTTGCCGTCAGGTCTTGAGGGTGACACATGTCGTGCGCAGCCTTGGCAGGAATGCTCACGTCAAGACGAGCATGTCAAGCCCTGTTTTTGCGTTTGCATTAGCTAGAGTCTTCGCAGCAAACATGCCAGCGATTGAAACGACTGTGGTAACTGTGTGCAGCCGCTCGGTGTTCCAAATCGCCGACTTGCGATTCGCATATTCTCACAATTTCAGAACGATTATTGCCGGTGCTTTTGCCCAGTGCCTCGAACACAGAACTCGGTTGCGTCGACACGCAAGGATATGCAACATCTGAAGACTGCGGCAGTATGTCGAGGCTGTTAGGCTGCGACTCTGGTGTGTCTGAGTCCTGGTGCTGGCACCCGTGCCTGTGGCCAAGAGCATTGACAAAAAACATTACGAACTGATGTGCGTTTTGCGTCAGAAGCACATCTGCATTGATAAGCATGGACGTTGTTAGTCGCCTGCGGTCGCTAGAAGAAGAAGCCCAAAATTTGTTCATGATGCATTGTGTTAAAGCTGTTGGATCGCTCGCAAGGCCGTTGCTTGCTTGCCGAACCAGTAAGCTGAAGAATGCCATACAAAAAGCAGCAATCCCATCCCGTGTCGTCACCATTGCTTGTCTGCAGAAATGCTGTCCGAACCTTGCTGCACCTGTAAGACAAGACCAGCTGCTGCAATACTTTGGGGCTGTGCCAGAGCTCCGAAAGCTGAAGCTCTCTTCGAGTCAGCGCAAGGACCTGACGGCAGGAGGATGATAAGCTCCATGGAATGGGGCTTTGATGGGCTTTGAAAGCTTAGCCAGGGGCGCAGGGGCAGCCGTGGAGGAGTCCCCTTCATTCCACGGCTCTTCTGCTCGCAGCATCTTCCTCAACTTGAGTAGTTCTGACCCAAACAAAGAAGCAACATGAAGGAGCTAAGCGTAGCTACGCTATACTGAGTGGTGCCTGCAAGCAATTGCCCGCCTGAACTCCTGAGGATCTAGATATCCATCACCGTTCAGGTCAAACTCCTTGACCTCGACGACTTCACAACAGGACAATTCGTAGGTGCTTGTTTCGTCACCCTTGTAGATGTTGCCGAGAGCTTCCAAAAAGGATGGGCAAATCCTAGTGTCGGACCATGTCCGTGAAGCGTCTGATATTGTTGTCCTTCCGAGCAGCAGGGCTA